TTGCAGGACACGTCGTGCCTGGGGGGAGCCCTTGTACAATATTTTCTTCACGCTCGGAGCCCAGCGGTCGAATTCCATAGCCCAATTGGACATGACGCTGTAAACCGGTAAAAGATAATTGTCATAAGGCAAATATTTTGACAATAATAATACTAAATTAATTTATTCAAATAATTCGTATGTAATTTCTTGCTTTTTTTATTACACACCTAGGTGTGATGAACAGCAGACTGGGTAAACCCCAGTCACGAGGACCTGCTGTTCAGTGGTTGAAATCCGCAAACTAAGCCCCGGAACTTGGAGTGGCGAACCACATAAGGCCCTGATAGGTTAGGCGTGGTATTGAACCGGACGACAGCAGAGCTGCCTACCACCAAAGTTGGGTGGCGGTGCTCGAACCTCGGACCATAGGGTCCAAAGCACGCCGGTGACAGCGACTAAACCACTGCGCTTTGACTTAGTCGAACTACCAATAAGAGCTCTATCAAAGCAACCACCTGAGTCATGTACCGAAAATTTTGATTCCATTGTCTTGTTTAAGAAGAAATAGAACTGTCTATTTGCTCACAACTGAGATCATAAAAAGACAAGTAAACATATCCTTACAACCTGAGATTTACTTGTTGAGTCAAACGAGGCTATCGCAGCTGACATTATTGGCTGTGGTGAGTCTTGCAGATAGCGTTACAGATCTCTTGAAAAAGAAAAATTTACAAGCGGATTGCTCAAGTCAAACAAAAGGCCAAGAGTAAACAACCAGAACTGAGAATATCGATGCACTTACGACAGCGGTACGATTATTAGGAACGGTCCATTCACGCGTTTTTTCTCCATCAGATGTGTGATCAATGCGATAGTCTGAATGGTTTTTCCGAGACCCATTTCATCAGCCAGAATACCATTAAGGTTGTTGTTGTATAGAGAGACCAGCCATTCCAAGCCACGCAGTTGGTACTCTTTTAGTTTGCCATGTACCAATATGGATGACTGTTCTTTCACCTCTTCACGCACGGCGTGAGCCAATGTGTAATATGACTGAGGTGCGTTGGCGCTGGACTCTCCGCGTTTATTGTACTCGTCATCCTCTGTTCCAACATGAACCATGGCACTGTCGTCGTCATCATCATCATCTTCGTCGAAACGTCGCTTTCGTTTGAGTTCATCCTCTGTATCTAACAGATCTTGTATTGTGCTCCCATCGACATCCGTGGGTAGAAGCTTTCGGAACAAGAGCAAATAAACTCATGTGAAAAAAGTCGGTTGTTTTGATGTAGTAAGAATCGAATTGTGGAATCCTAAAATTATTGGGCACATTCTGAGATATAGTGGCAGACCGTTATCGTCATGGATGAAATCCAGGGACGGCATAAAGACTAAATACAAGTTGATTACGAAGTGAGGGTGAACAACAAACTACTGCTTGAAAGAGTTCCAAGAGCCATTTGGTTCAACAAGGTCAACGTTTTCTTTGATGCACGCGAAAAAGAGACAAACCCCATAATCAATGGTGTACTGTAAGGGAGTATGCAGAGGAACATTCAAAAAAGAAACAATTTGTTAATACTGCTTTTGAAATGAGTAAGGTTATCTGAGCTTGGAAAAACGGAAAAGGGAAGAGTGTTCCACTGAAGGAGCTGCTCTGTATTTCACTGGTCTAAAGTGTTGTGGCCTGACATATCGTACTGCGACACCCTGGATTTCCGACGAATTCCTGCACCTCCTTGACTCACACCGGCAACGAGTAGGAGAAAAAATTTCCAACGATAAGTGAACGAAAGGTAATCTCACGCAAAGACCGCAAAATCCGGTGATCTCAACTTGCATCAGAGATGGAACATGTGATCGCCATTGGAAATTTGAAATAGCTGTTTTACCTTATCCGGGTAACTGGCAGAAAGACACTAGGTGTAAGTGAAAAGACCTAGACCCGGAAATCAACAAGGGCATCTTGCACACTAGGTGGAATCCCTCAAGGCAATTTAGTTGTGAACGGCTTGGTGACTGAGGTATTCGGATCCGGTACGTGCTCTGCAAATGTACCTTTGTTCAGGTATAACAGATGTATTTGAAAGTGATGTTATCCTTTACTTTCATTGAATCCATCCAATAATAATAATAATCTTATTTCCCAGAGCCATTAATTAATTTAGTTTGAGGACCCGACATCATAGACATCAAATCTGTAGTATCCTTTTCTTCAAAGCGGATGGAACACACGGACTTTCAAAGCTAGTCTAATCAACAACCAAGGCCATTGGAATGCAGATGCACATTCCTCATCGGCATAGAAGAAAAATACGAGACAGAAGAAACATTCTCTTTCACTACGCAACCGTATACAGAGAAAGCAATTCATAACTGCGCAGTTCAGTCCTTACAACAATAGGATAAACACACTTTACAGTTTCTCCCTCGCTTACCTATGTTTAATGGAAAACCCGAGGACGCTTATTGAATACCTTAAAATAACGGGAACAAGAAAAACAGCCACAAGTTCCTCGTCGTCTGTCTTTTCCTACTTCACATTTCTATTTATGGAATATACTAACGTACAGTCAACTTTTAGGAAGGGGGATGTGGCCATACAAAGGCTGTCTGGGGAAATACAGAAATAGCGAAGAAAGGCGGCGGTGGAGCGGTTCGAACCTGGTACTTCCGGGTCACAATTAGGTGACCCACCACTACCCGTTACTTGGCACCTGAGACAAA